GATTAATACATCATTTAATTTAGAAAAATGTAATTGAACTGTTGGAGCAATTTGATATGCTAATTCTCGAACGAATTTATATGCTAATTTCATAGATTTCCATCTAATCATATGTTTGATACACCAAGTTTTTCTACGTTCTCTATGATCATCAAGAGCATACCATTCAAGAAAGATACGTAATAAAACTATGTAATCACCACCAATATCTGTATCGTAAATGAATGAAGATCGTATTTCATCACTTAATTGTTTGGATTGATCATCTTTACTACGCCACCATATATTTTGTACTACACTTAACATACCAGCAAGAGCAAGTACATGACTGAAACAATTAAATTTTTGTCCTGTCAAAATCATAACTGAAAGCATAGGATCAAGACCAAGTTTTGCCAAACTACGGCCTATATCAGTCAATTTCTCTGTCTTCGAATCGATTGCATTCAACCATGTTAAACATTTGACAGTTTCTTGTAGACTACTATCTGCAGGTGATTCCAACCAATCGAATTCTGCAATATTATCAACTATATTAAGATGTTTTAATTTAAGTACGGCTATACTCGGTTGAGTACAAAGAATTTCTGCTCGAGAACAAATATCCAAAGATTGATAAGTATCATATGTATATAGATGAAAACACTAAAAACAATAGAATAATTATAATAAACTATTCTAAGGAGTATGAATGAATCTTTATTGTAATATTTACCTTTCCTATTGATGTTCGTCCAGCTCGTCCACGTCGTTGTTTAACTGAACTCTGTGTTGTATAAGCAGTTTTAAGAATTCGCATATGTCGTTTTGAATCCCACATAACTTCTTTGACCATACCTGAATCTATAACATATCGAATTCCATCGATTGTTACCGATGTTTCAGCAATATTAGTTGAAAAAATTATTTTACGTCGACCACCGTTACCCGTAGACATGAATATAGCTTTTGTATCATCTTCATTTAATTTACCATGCAATGGTAAAATCATAGCTGATTCAGGTGGATCAATTTTTCTCATTACTTCATCAATGGCTCGATCAATTTCATCTTGACCAGTAAGAAAAACTAGAATATCTCCAGAAGGTTGATTAGCATGAATATCAAGAACTTTATTTATTGCTTCATCAACATAATTTTCAGGATCTTCTATAGCGTAAACATCTTCAATAGGAAATGTTCGACCAGGAACTTCAATTACAATTGCATCATTGTAATATTTACTTAATAGTTTATCATCAAGCGTCGCTGACATAATAACTAACTAAAGAATTAGATTATATTTAGTATTGATTAATTATAAGTCTCTAGAGATTTCAAAACGTAAAGCATATTTATATATTTTCAGTAGGAATAAATAATCCGTAATAATCAGAAATCGATACTTTTCAATACCGCTCAAAATTTGATGAGATGAATGAATGAAAAAGCGTTTTTGATTACTCTCTTAACTGTTAAGATATAATATTTAATTTTGAGAATATAATTTACCTTTATATCAGGACGTCTTTGTAAACATATTTTCAAAGCACCAAAGAGTAAATCAGTATCGATGCGTCTCTCATGAGCTTCGTCAATGATAATTAAACTATAGGCACTTAACATTGGATCCATTTGATATTCATTCAATAGAACAGCATCAGTAACAAATCGAATTTGAGTTACATGTGAAATTTGTGGACGAGAAGCACCAACATGACAACCAACCTACAGATAAAAGAACAGTTTTAAATAACCTATTAGACAAAGTCTTACTTCTTCGCCCACTTTGCAGTTAAATTCTTTTGCTACACGAGAAGCTAATTCCCGTGCAGCCAAACGTCGTGGTTGAGTACAAATAATTTGTCCTAGTTAAATATATAATTTATCATAGAAATTGACAGATGATTCAAAAATCTACAAACCACCATTAGCAAATCCAGCATCGACAAGATATTGAATCAATTGACTACTCTTGCCAGATCCTGTTTCTGCCTTAAGTATTACAACACGATTTGATTGAATTGTATCAATCAATTGTTGACGTCGTGCATAAATAGGTAAATGAGCTTTAAGACGTTCAATTTCTCGTTTTAATCTTTTTTGAAGATGTTGAGCGTCTTTTAATGTTGATGGATTAACAATAGATAGTTCCGATATAGTTTTCTCGAATGTTTCCAATTGATCTTTTAACTCTTGAACATTTGTCTCTTTTGAAAATTTTACATCGTCATCATTTTCGTTAAGTAATATGAGTTGTTCATCGATAAGAGATTGATGTTGGGAAAATACTTCAGGTAGACTTTCCTATCAAGAAAAATTTGAACTTAAACTTGAAAATATTCATTTCTTTGATCATGTCAAAAACTTTACATACCTCAAATAGAATTTTAATTTCAGCTTTTGAGTGTTCTATCCAAATTGATGAATCTATTGTAAATGATGTAGAACTATCGTTCTTTGAAGAAATCGATGCTGAATCTGATATGTTACAATTGTTAAAATTTATTTGCATTAAATTCTGTGGTTTCGGCACTTTATTTGACTGTTGATTAGAATCAAATTGTTTTTTATGAGGATAACTTCCTTGATGATTTGAATGATCACCAGAATATGGAGACATCTGACGTTGTGTTGTCATGGTATAAGACAAATTTTGATTCTTAGGACACGATTGGTATGGTTGTAATGAATCATCAGTCTGATCTCCATATTCGGATTGATATTGATCATACGATATATTATAATTATTCCGTTTAGAACTAGAATAATTTTGGGAATTATTCCGTTGTTGTTCATTATGTGCATATTGGCAAGTTTCAAGTTGCGGACATTGTGAACCAAATTTACAGTATCTAAATTTGTTTCGTGTCGAAGCCATTATTGTGATAGTAATTCTGAAAAATAAATGTGTTTTGTTTCGTATGCGTACTTCAATATTAAAGTAGGTAAAAACCACTAACAAAAAAAAGGTACAGAATGATAAAAACAGATGACTCATGAAAACTTTATCCACAATGGGAATTTTTTTTCCATATTTTACCCGAACAAATAGAAACGAAAATTATGACATATTTTTTCAACGATACCTAACGACAATTAGTATGTAAGTCTTCAATCATATATGATTCATATATTATTGCAACATACCAAGTATTCTTCTAAATATTGGTAAACATTTTTAAAGATGGCGCATAAATCATTCTAATTTTTTGAGAATACAACTGTAGGAAATATCCAATATATCTAGTGATATACATATTGGTATATTCCCTCTGATCATGTTGGAACATTCCCTGTATTCTTCTACCATATAGTTCTACACAAATTTACAACAACAAATGTAAGGGTTATTCATTTTGTGTTAAAAGTCATTTTAAAGTCTGAATAATCGAATGAAAAATAGTAATATTAAGTTTAACTAAGAACATATTGAGATAATTATGAATAGATTTATTGTATATGGTTAAAATAATACAATGACTATCTATATATGTAACTTTCCTGTATGCTTGACTTCCTTTTTGGGAAAGTCTGAAACATATTGTAATATCATATAATATATAGGATACATTCATCCTGAGAATATGTATTCAATTTCAAACAACAAAAAATAATTCTGAATATTCGTCGATTCGTTTATCTCCCAACCTTCATTTTATCAGACTGAATGAAGCATTTACTTCAACGATTTGAAGAGAAAATAAATGGTGAATATCAGAAAAACTATGAGAAATATTCTAAGATAATAAATTTCGTTTTAATTTATTTTAATACATATTATTCTGTGAATACATCATTTTCTTGATTATGTCTGAAAAAAGTGGTATAATGTTCATAAAATTATTTTACTGAATTACTAATAATCTCCTAGATTGGCCATTTTTAAATGTATAATCCAAATATTGTTTGAATCTGGCAATTCACGAATATTACAGACTTGAAAGACACTACCCATGGCAAATAGAACTTCATCTTCATCGGGAAACATTGAATATTGAGATATATTCGCATATGGACGCGTTCGTGCTTGTGAATTTGCTTCAATGCTAAATATTACTGAGATCAAATCGGGATTTTCATCAAATTTCCCGGCATACATAAGAGCAACTTGCATTGATGTTGTTGTTGATAAAAATGTATTAATCGATATGATACTACCTCGAAGATCTTTGAAAGAATTAAATTCTTCATTTGACATTGATTGACCTCGATAAAATATGTCTTCTCTAAATGGTCGATAAATTGTATATCTTTGCCGGCCTGATTCATTCAAATGAGCACACATATCAGTAAGAATATATCTTAGTTTAAACATCGTATCAGCATTACTTGTTCGAAGTGCATGATTAATTGTTCTGCAAATAAAAGAATCACGTGTGTACCACTGTACAGCTGCATTCCAATGGTAAGTTTTTTCGAAATTATCAATAGCAGCAAGAGTTACTTGATTATCATTATATATACGACGAAATTCAGCAAACATTTCTGCTTGTGATTCCAATGTTTGTGGCATACAAAGAAGAGTATCTATTGTTCGCTGATGAGCTATGAATACATGAGCTTGTTCTGAATTATAAACAGTCAATGGTAGTGGAATTGGTAATTGTGTATTTTCATCTTTTTGTATAAACTATAAAAGAAAATGATTTAAAAAAACTTTCTTTTTACATCACAATAAAATACTATCTTACACAATGTTGATCAGTAGTATATGATTCAGTATACCATTTAGTTTCATGTTCATCTAAAGGTAGTTGAAGTTTATCAATATCTTGTTTTAATTTGTTAGCAAGTGTTTTAGAATTATTATAAACTCCATGAATTTCTGAATATCCTCTACTCCATTCCAAATGTGAGCCAAGATGAGCACAATAAATATATGCAGCAAAAATTTGTTTCATTAAACATAAACCTGTGGAATATAATTCTTCACCAAGTGTTCCTGAAACAATTAGAAAGATATATCGCTGTTCACGTAATTGTCGTTCAATGAATGATATACAATTTGACACTCTATTGAAAAAGTTCCATTGATATGGTTTAATAGCTTGATTGAGTTCATCGTCCGAATCATTCAATATCTCATCCAACCAGATAAATGAAATCGATTTGTGCTTTGAAGAATCTAATTGCGAATAGTTAAAAGAAGACAAATATCGAAAGCGTTGTTTTTCGGACCATTCGAAGGTAAATCTGGTGCGCTGTCCAGTGGATTTTCTTGCTTTTTGTTCAGGAGTCAATTTAGGCTATTGAATAAAGAAAACGATAAGATAAAAATCAAGTAGTGCCCTTAATCTTACTTCTGCATGAAGATAATCTTGCGCAATACAATCTTCATACCAATCAAATATTTCTGCTGTAACTTCCATTTGTCGTTCAGCAAACGTATTGTAAGCTCGATGAAGTGCCGATTGAAATCGTGGGTTTTCATCCAAATAATTAAAGTTAAGTGGTGCTACTCGTTTAACTTTCCAATCTCGACCAAACATAAAACCAAAATTCCATTTGACTTCATCATCAACATGTTCATTTTCAAGAAATGCACACCAATTATCTTCATCATCCATGATTGCTTGTTCAGATGAAATCATCAATTTACTCCATTCACTTATATTACATAATTTATTGCCATATAAATAAAATCGAATGGGTGATAATTCTTTAATAAGTCGACACATATAATGTGGGTTATCATGATTGAAAAGTAGTTTAGCATATGGTAAAAGTGATAAATGTCTATCACTATTTGGTATATAATCGTTCAATTGACGAATGATCGTTGAAGTATAGCCAAGCTTATTACCTAAGATAGATATTTCCTATAAGTATTACAAGACTTCAATATAGATAGTACTTTCGCAATTCAAATTTTGAAATTAACTAAAAAGATGTGTCAATATTCCTTTATTATGGTCACTTTTACTAAATCTACTGTTCAGAGCAAATATTTGATGATTACTGCTTAGGAAAGATACAAACAAAATTGAAGTGATGTATTTATAGACTTACAAACTTTCTGTAATCTCTGTTGAGCACTATCGATATTTTCTTGACTACTATTCAAAGAAATAAGAAGAATATGACAAGGTTCAGCCTAAAATTAAACACAATTAATAAATTCAATTCATATTCATTTATCCTACTTTGAAAAGTGACATAGCCCATTCTTTCAAAACTCGTGCTTGTTTATAATAAATTTTCACCAAAGATATTCGTTCCAATTTAATTTGTTTTTCACCTTCCAATGTTAAAAAACGAATAATATCATTTGTTAAATCTAATGTTAATTGTCGAAATGAATTTGTCATTCGATTTAAATCACCTTGACTATTATCACATATTATGTCTCGTCTATATATAGATACTATACGAGGATTTGTTTCAAATTGTAACAAAAGATCTTTGTCAATGGAATCAAGAAGAATTATAAAATATCGTTGTAAACATATGTCTGATAATTGTGGGCTAACATTTACAATTTGCTCAAGCGATGTAGTATTAAATGCAAATAAGGATGATACAGGTAATCGTAAATTAGCACCTGCAATGCTTGCACTACATCCAAATACCACTACAATTGGTTCGAACGAAGCCATTGTATTTAAGTTACTTCCTATAATGTGAAGCTATCAACGTCGTGTGTTCTCTTTCTATGTGTATGAATGAGAAAGAGAAAGGTTAAAACACGTGTTGTTCGAAAGGTATATGTGACGTTAACTGATCGTTGGTAAAAAGAAAATTAAACATATTTTCTATGTTGGAAAAAACCACAATGTCCTACAGTGCACCTATCAGTAACATTTTTTTATTGCGAGTTATGTTGGAAGAATCCAAGTAGCATACTATCATTTTCCTTTTCGTATATTTGCTGAAGTGTAATAAGCATGTAGCGAGACAATGCAGGTATAGATATTTTTATTATTAAAAAACGAAATACTAAACAACTTCTATTGATTTAAATAATCATTTTGATGTTCATTATGAATATTAGCTATCTATGAGATTTTGCTTAGTTTTTATATATAATTTCTATCTTTCAAACTAAATAGACTAGTCGACATACACGTGTTATGTGTTTCTTTTATTTATCTTTCATATGTTTTTTTTCATTCTGTTTCTTACATTATAGAGAACAATATTTTTTTCTTCTTCCGTTTCAAGTTGGAAAGAAATACTGTGGTAACATTGTTTCAATTCTACAATAATAAAATGTCTGTGAAACAAGATTCATTATTCTGTACATTACCAGTTGAACTTATTTATCATATTTTTCGTTATCTCGATGCACAAACAATTGTTCGATCAATTCGTATTGTTTGTAAACGATTCTATACCATTGTGAATGTATATGACAAATTTAATTTCAATTTTGATTCAATTGTAAAATCTGATTTTCATTATCTTTGTAATCTTATTTTACCTAGAAATGTTAAATCATTGACATTATCTAATAGCAATGAAACACCAGGTCAAATTGAATATTTTCTCTCGCGTTTTCGTATCAAACAATTTATTCAACTTAATTCATTGAATCTATTTCAAATTGATGATTGTCAATTGAGTATTATTTTAAAAGATATTCAAAAGTTGCAACTCACTTCATTATCTATTAATTCAAAACAAGATTATTCAGACAACAATACAATTTCAGATGATTTATCATCAGCCATTTCTTTACCTAGTCTGCAGAAACTTACTTTAAATATTCCAAGTTGTGACATATCTAAAATAGTATGGCCTATTGGATGTACAATACAACATCTGTATATATATTGTCGTACTATTGATGAATATTGTAATATTCTTTATAGTTTACCTAATCTACGAACATTAGTAGTAGAAGGATTAAACATAGATGATAATTTTGGAATAATACCT